ACGTGGGGAAAAAAACACGCCTGATTTAAATGTCACACCTGAACGCTCACATCCTTTTAATTATGTTTGAAATTATGAACATTGCTCAACATCATGAAAATTAAACCTTATTTTCAATAAGCAATCCTGAAAAATATTTGGGGGTGCTTAACTTTTTCCAGGTGTATATAAGGAATTCAGGGATAAAACCAGTGATCTTTAATTAGATCTTCCTTCTTTTGTACAGTTAATTTTTATTATTATTATTATTATTATTATTATTATATGTTCTTTGATCTATCACACCAAAAACTTGGGATCTAATAAACCTTTACATTTATCAGAACAGAAATAGCTTACCCAACTGTAGGGTCCAGAGCTATATCTAATGGTGAGGAGAGATTGCGACTGATGATGATAGCATGACGGTTACCCCTGAGTTCCATAAGATCTATTTTCTGACCAAGTGCATCACATATGTAAAGCTTATTTGCCACCCAGTCTACAGCCAGGCAGACAGGACTCCAAGGAAATGGGACACTGAGTTCTCCAGACTGCTTCATATCACTAGCTCGTAACTTGTAGACCTATTGAATCAGGTTGTGCTTTTTAAATGCAAATCTTAAAAATTAACAAGTGATTCTTAAATAATGATAAGATATACACGTATAATGCTTTCTTTAAAATAAATTCCACCATAAGTTTTCTTTCACAGAATGCAAACTACCATTAATTATGAAGACTTTAACTTGTTAGCTGGAACTAGCAAAATTAAACTATAGTAATAATAGTAATAATGCAAGTAACCATATCTAGTGAGTAAACAAAATGGCATTATTTACAAATAAAAGAAATATAAATAATACATATATATGCTTCAAAATCCCAAGTTCTTGACATACTTTTATACAATAATCATATATTTGTTGCAGACAGCCATTTAGAAGTTGTAAAGTGGCAAAATTAGTGGAATATCAATGTTAAAATTTACCTTTCTAGTTTCTGTATCAGACCAAAAGATAAGACCTTTATTGTAATGGAAGTCTAATCCACTAGCTGCTGTGGTGTTAGTAATAATTTCCAGGTTCAACCCTTGTGCATCACTTCTGTATACAGCACTGTGATGTGTGAATAGTAGCCTCATCTGTGTACCTACGAAACAGGTATATGATGGACATTCAAATATTTACACATTAACATTGAAATAGCTGTGTTAGTTATCTCAATAAATCTGTGAAGATACAAAATTTTATTGAGTATGGGAATTTTCAATATCACAAAGAAAGCTTGGAAGTAAAATAAAAGAAAATATAATGACATTTTATCTAAAAAAAAAACAACATCAAACTGCTTACATTTTTGTTTTTAAATTCAAGTTAGTGTCAGTCTCATCTAAATGATGAGGCAGAGATGTACATGGTATCAATTAGTTTTTAGTTCCTAAGTTTTTCTTCTTTAAATCTAAACTAAAGGAATACATTATTACCCCAAAAACTGTGATTTCTGTATTAGTTATTAAACAACATATTAAAGGAACGAAAAACTCACTGTTCTCTGCACGACAGTGTCTAGGAGGAACAAGCTTGTATCCAGCTGCACATGAACATTCAAAACTACCAGGAATATTGACACAAAGTTGATCACAGTAACCCCACTGGGAACATTCGTCGAGATCTAAGAGATCGAAAACAATACATAACATAACCCATGTTTAAAGCTGCAAGGAATCTTAGTACTAACAGTCCACAGTACCCAATTAGGAATGTTCATCAAAATCTAATGATTACATGCTTGTATCACGAAGTGTTAGAACTAGATGTTCACGGTAAATAAAACTAAGAAAATTCATTAGAAGCTGTTGCATGAAGAGTATCTGAAATCAAAAAGAATTCTTGACTTTTGTTCCATTTCTAAAATCCCACGCAAAATTTCACTTACAAACAGCTAAACACAGCAACTATTCTACATTATGAAGAGTACACCAGATAAATTTCAGATTCACTGTTTACTCCCAATCATACTTTATTAGGAGCATGTTCTCCATTTGATATTACATTTTTATAACATGCTTTCAGATCTTCAAAAATAATAAGCAAATTTATACTGTGATTCTGAGTATTTATATCTTTCCTTCCTAATACTGTTTATTTGTTATTTTTGACAATGTTTAAGTGAAAAATTACAAATCAATGTTTATTCAATTACAGTGACATGAAGAATAACCAAAAAAAAGAATGTATTCAGAGATAACTCATGAACAACTTCTATACAGATGCAAATAACTAACATATTATACATTTTACATCAAATTAAACAAAGTAATTAATAAACCTGACTATACAACTTCTGTCATTTGGATTGACATTTTTTTTTTTCAGCAGCACTAATTAATTAATAAATCTTGCCTGTACAACTTCGTTTTTCATTTGGATCAACCTGCATTCCATTTTTCAGTAATACTCTCAACCAAATAATTAATAACCTTTACAACTTCTTCTGTCATTTGGATTGACTTGCATTCCATTTTTCAGTAATACTCTCGACCAATTAATTAATAACCTTTACCTTTATAGCTTTATCTGTCATTTGGATTGACTTGCATTCCAGTTTTAGTTACACTCTCCACCAAGTAATTAATAAGCCTTACCTATACAACTTCTTCTGTCACTTGGATTGACCTGCATTCCAGTTTTACAGTAACACTCTCCACCTTCTAAAGATGCCCGGCATCCATATTCACACGACAAGGAGGGACACAGGCTGGTTGCTATAGTAAGTACACATTTAATTAATATGAAATTCTCCAAGTTATAGAGATTTTTAAAAAAGCAACAAAATGTGGCAATTTCAAAGTTTCAGTCAAAGCATTTTTTAAACATCTTTGTTTAAATTGGAAACTAAAGATTATTTTAGTGTCTTCATTAGCTAACAAAAGGAAAAACATTACTTTTAAACTTATTTTCTTTCTCCTTATGTCTGCAATGAAAATTGATTATGTTAATAATAATAATAATAATAATTCAGTTGATTACTTAATTAGTTTGAAACTGTGACAATTATTTTTTTTTATAAGATGAAAATTACTAGATGTTTCAAAAATAGCTTAATAACTTAATGATGATGACTCTGAAATCAAATAGATATAAATTTCCATAAATAGCATGAACATAATAACAAACACCATTAAAGGTTTTAAAAAATACATTAATAACTTAATAATGAGAACTTTTAGAGCAAGTAGAAGCAGAATTTCGATACTAATATGAATATAATAATAATCTCTATGTATACACAACAGAAACTTACAGCATGCTTCTCTTTCATCAGCCCCATCATCACAGTCTTGAATCCCATCACAAAGTTTTCTTTTATCAATACACTTTTTCTCTGATAGGCACAAAAATTTTGTTTCGGCACAGGTAATCAAAGCTGCAACACAAATAGTTAATGATTAACTGAAATATTTTCATTTGTTTAAAGTTTATTAAAAATATCCCAAAATACAACAATATCAACAAACACCCATTAACTCTTCTATTCTTTTATTGCACACACATAAACACATAACATTCAGAAAAAGATTCCTTTCATAAAAAGATTCCTTTCATAAAAGACAATTAAAAATTAGATATATATATATATATATATATATATAACACTTCACACTCTTAATTCTTTACAAGCTCAAGCACTTAAATACTTTTCCCAAATAAATCAAAGAATTATTTGTTTAGATTTTTCTACCAAAGGTGACAAAGGGCTGTCTGCACATAGTCATTTCTAAATTTGAAATTATAGATTAAATGGAAAGCTAGACATAAACACTCACCACCTTGGCTTTTTGTGATACTCTTGTCTTACCAAATATTGCGAATTGACTGTTACTCTTACAGTGCACTAACAGCCCCAAAAGTTCAGAATACACTTTTACAGCAATGGACAAATGACCTAGAATCACGAACCCTCGGATTCACAGCTCAAGCAGGCTAACCACTTGGCCACACCAAGCCCAAAATTAAAGAATAAAAGGTTGGACTGATATTTACAACAAAAAATGGCAAAGGCAATCACACACAACTCATATTTTGACAGTAAAAAACTGATACCAGACATATTGTTACTCATATATGAGAACTTTATGTATTCTTATACCACTTGAAATAATAGACTATCTCAGACTATAACATTTTGAAGAGATAAGTGAAACTTTATTCCAATTATCCAACACCCTGTTCTGTTTCCATCCATTACTTTGTTCAAGATACTCTTAAGATGTTAAAAAAAATTTAGTGGTGAAGAAATTCAAAATGACAAATCAAACAAAATCTTGGTAAATTAATTCTGTTGCTAGATATATTGATCTTAATTCAATAATACAAGTTTAAAGTTAGCTATGAATACTACATTTTCTAAGGTTAACTACTTACTGCAGTTTTTTTCATCAGATTGATCTGTACAATCTGTATGTCCATCACAATGCCAGTTGGATGGTATACAAATGCCATTACTACACCTGAACTGATCACTGTGACATGCTGGAAAATCTGAGAAAAACACAACATACATTTAACAAATAATTTTCAGGAAATTAAAAAAAAAAACAATATATTACACTAAAGATACAGTAAAAATGCTTTTTTAATAGGAATTATTAGACTACACACAATTATGAAATAAACTTCAAGTAAAGGTTAAGTATCACAGAAAAATGATTTGAGTAGGGTAAATTTGTTTTTGAAGGGAGCCCCAGTTATCAGAGGAGCTTGTAAGAAACATCATTCAGAGAAAGTATTAATAAGGGAAGAAAAATGGTTAGTGAAGTACATATACATTTTAAAATTATATATAATGAAAGTGATATGTGTTAAAATGATTCAATTAATAAATATATGGTATTTATTGTATTAAATATTGTTACATGTTAACTATTCAGGTTCTAACTATGCTGTCTGGTTGATCACTGTAAAAGTCATGAAAATACTATCTCTAATGGCAACCATGTTAGTGGAAAGATGATAATCAAACTGAATTATTTTATCGTAGCAAGAATTTATATTACAATCAGTCTGTCTCAGATGTCGGTCATTTATAAAGTTAGTCTCAAGACTTGAGATTCAATCAAGCACTACCATAAAAATTTCATAAAGTACCGTGGTGGGTTGGAAGAAATTCAAAGTGGGCTTTGTTTAAGGGAAGCAATTGAGTTGCATGCATTTGTGCTTTCTTAAGATGAATATTCTCTTTCTAAATAATAAAACCAGTATTCTACTTTATGACCTTGAGAAAGTATGACCATACTTAATGAACTTTAACACTGAACCTGAAAAGAGTAACAAAGAAGTAGCTTTCTCTACATTGATGGACTGGTTAAGTTTTACAATTAATGCCAAGCAAACAATTATATAAAAATTGTTAAACCTTTCAATTATCAGATTAGATTCTCTAATTTCTAGATTATCTTTTTCGATATTTCAATATTCAACTTACCCAACTTTCCTTGTTTGCAATTGTCTTAAAAACAAATATATGATGTAAAATTAAGCACCTTCATACAATGGTCACTTGAAAGAAGTATTTGTATAGCACACTAACTAAAAGTATCCTGTCTAAAAACGTTTTTTTTTTTTTTTCAAATAACCATAAGTGAATCTTAAATGACAAAATTAAATTTGTTCCAGGTTATACCCACCACATTTCTGTTCATCAGAATTATCTCCACAGTCATCCCAGTGATCACATTTCTTGCTCAAATCTATACAGCTGGCACCATTAGCACATCGGAATTCATCCAAAACACACGCTGTTTCATCTAACCAAAAGAAAAAACTGGATATTACGCCTTACAAAAAATCCAAACCACACAAGTAGCACACAACACTTAAGTCAAGTTAAACTACCAAGGGATTAAAAATCACATTTTATATTGGTATCAATTAAACCTTAATACAATTTTTGAAATTACTATTATTAATTTTCTAACTTAATCTTTGGTAATACATTTACTTGCAAACTTATTACTATTTATGTTAAGTTGTTTTGTATTTTTTTTAAAGAAAATTTTGCAATCACCCATATAACATCAAACATAGCTGCTTAACCTGTTCTACACAAAGCAAGTCAACATACCTTAAGTTGGTCACAGAATTTCATGCCTGTCTACTGTACCAATAACATAACACAATGTAGGGACAACAAGGGACCTATTGGTCCATCTTGGCTGTCCAATCCTCTAAACCAAACTAAAACTATTAAATAAATAAATTAATAAAAAAAATCTTAAAGCCAGCACTTGTCATTCATATAGTTATCAAGCTTTCTCTTACACTCACTTAAATTTATTGCCTCTAGAATAACCTGTTCCAAATGCTAACCACCCTGTTAGAAAAATAAATCTGTCTTAGCTGAAGCTGACTGCTATCTTCCCAAGATTTACATTTGCCCATTGTCCTACTATTCTCACCATTAAGTATGAAAAAAAGATGGTGCACCAACACTATCAATTCCCTTTACAATCTTAAACAGCTCAATCAGATCCCATCTAACTCTTCTCTTTTCATGAGAAAAGAATTTCAGAGATCCTAACCTCTCCTCATGAGACAACCCCTCTATCCCAGGCACCATTCTGGTAACCCTTCTCTGAACTCTTTCCAACAATTCAATGTCCTTCCTAAGGTAAGGAGCCCAAGATTGAACACAGCATTCCAATTATAGCCTAACCAGTGACCTGTACAATGA